CGACACCTGTCACAGGCGACATGTGACCAGTCACGTGCCACCTGTGAGGGGCAAATGATTAGGGGATTTTTATCCACCAATCACCGTCTGACAAATGGACCAACCAGGTTCCGCCACGTGTCCTTCACGAAGGCCAACAGGAGCCTGCCACGTATCAACCACAGATACGTCTCTAACGGACCACTTTAGACACGCCACGTGTCCACCCATGCCAAATGGGAAAACCGGCCATCAAGGCCCAATCCAGTCTAGAGGCCCGACCAGCCCTAGGTTTACCCTAAACCTAGAGAGTGACACGCTTCTCAAGGCTATAAATACTTAATTAATCCTCATTAATGACGATCGAACAATCAAGAAATCAAGCAGAGAAGAACAGAGTTATTAACAACCGGCTAATCTCGCTAACGACGCAGATTACCAACACTAAGCACTCTCACCTAGAGAGATCTCATTACTTTAATTTCTGTATTAATGACTCCTTAATCAGGTACTAACTTGACCGTTGGAGGCGGAGCTCTCAGGAGTCTCCGTTATTTTGCAGGTACAGGCGTCCGGTTCCAGTCTCGGAATTGTAACTCTCCCCGCAGGACATCAGAAAACCCCGAAACAATAATGAAGAAGAAATGTTGCAACTTATAAAATATGATGGAGGAGGGGCTAATGATAGTTGTAATACCCGTATTTTCATACGTATTTTCCTAATTAATTAATTAGGAATTATTTTATAGTAATTGAATCATTTATGGACCGGCTCAATTGGAGTAAATTGAACCCAAATAATTGTCAAGAGGCTTATACCAATTATAGTTGAACTTGTAAAAGCCTAATAGGTGGTAAATTAACATCTAGAGTATTCATAAGAATTTGTACATGATTGAATCAATCTATTCTATAAATAAACTAAAGGAACAACCGCTGACATCATATTGTCCATGTGGCAGCTTTATAAGAAAAAATTTCCCGCCTAAATAAAAATCTAACGTCATTATATTTTCTTTGGTTTCCAAATTTAATTTCTCCTCCTCTCAATTTATCTACTCTTTAATTTATTTATCTTTCTTCTATCACCAACTATTGGTATCTAATACATCTTTCCCTTATGCTTCATCGAACAAAATTCTTTGATGTATACATTTTTTCTATTTTCCTGTATATATTACAAGTTTAAAATCATTATTTATTTGTTTAATTATTTTCGTATATTAAAAATCTAACTTTTATGTATGTGCTTAAATTTTCATATTCGGTTTGTTCTCCTTCAAAATTAATTTTATAAAATAAGCATTTACAACTAATGGTTATATCTCAATAATTTTTCTGATACGTAATAATACATAAAATATATATACTCTATATTTCCGTGCATCTCACGGGACTAATCTAGTATGTTATTATTTGGTTCCATTTTTTTAAGGTATTTGTTTTAGCATTAAGGATGTAATGCTTCTAATTATTGGTAATCCCTCAATGGTAACTATAAGCTTTTGGCTATTTGTAAATAAACTAGAAAATTTAGAATTAGGTTATTCAAGTATCTACTAGAACTCTAGAAGTCTAGAATAAAGACTAATTATAAACAATAAGTTTGTGTTGATTTTTGTACAACTACCAAAAAATTAATCATATTTTACAAATGCTCAAGGAAAAAAGAAAATCACCACCAAAGAAACAAAAGTTGGTAGTGTTTGAGGTGGTCTCGGATGGCCTTTGTGCTATTTTATTGGAGGGATTGAGCTATGTGATGTTGGCTACTTGGCTAGGAGGGTGTCATGTTGTTGCATGGCCTTTCGCTTAGTGTTGCTTTTGTTGTGTTTTTTGTTTTTTTGTTGTTGCTTTGTTCTTGGGTTCCAAATCAAATAAAAATAGGGGGGGGGGGGGGGGGGGGAACCATACCAAACTATTTTCATTTTAATTTATGATAAGTAGATATCAAGACTTTGAATTTGTTTTTTAGCGAGCAAAATTAGGATGACAAAAGCTTAACATGACCTACCTCTCCTCATACTTGGAGTTTTTCTCCTAAAAAGTTGGGTGGATGAGATTTAAACTCGTGACCTTTTTGTCATGTAGGTTTTTAATATCAGGTTAAATGACCAATTCAACCAAAAGTTTAAACCGATGGTTTTAGATTAGAATAATTTTTATATTATCAAGTCTCCTCACATCAGATGAACTTAAAACGTAGATGCAACATGGGCCTCCTACATGCCCAGTGCAAAATATTTCACTTGGAAGGGAAGAATGGATGAGAATTAAACTCTTATCATTATAGTCATACCAGCTCAATGACTCTTAATTTACAATGTTATGGGATCAATTCAACCAAAAGATTATGCTAATGATTGAAGCTCATGACCACTATATATACTCTCATTAAAATGTTGACATTTGTAATTGTATTGATAAAGTGAGTCAATAAATTACCACTAATAATTTGTTTGATTAATGTTAATGTGTGCATGTGGAAAATGAGTTATCAAGCGAGTTGAGGGAGCTATATACAACATACTTGGGTTAGTGTAGATGGTTGCTGATCTATATATTTAAAAAGGTCGAATTAGGGTTGAGAAGAATCAACATATTAAATACAAGCTCACCTTATTTTCCAACTCTACACAAATTAGATAAATTACAAAAACTAACATAATAAAACGTAGTACTACACAATTCTTTAGAATTAAGAGATACACTCATACACTTTTGAACTATGCATACATCATGTGTATATAGAAACAATAAATTGATGAATAACCAAAGTTGATTCGCACGACAACACCTGCCTTGTAAAAAAAAATGGAACGTTGATATGAAAAAGGAAGTTGCTTTCAATAGTTAGTGTCTTAGTGATGTCTAATGTGGTCCTTTTTACATGGCTTGCCAATATTATTTTACAGAATTTTATGCCTCTTTTTTTTTTTTTTTTTTGTTCTTTAAAAGTCAAAATTCACGAAATTTTGTAGCTTCTATGAATCGCAAATAATTGTGTGGACCAATAGTGGGTGTCATAAGGCCATCGTACGTAGGGTCAATATCTAACGTTGAGCTCATTAAACCAATCAAATCATATGCTGCCTAACAGGCAACAGCAAAGCATATGATAACATTTTTTTTGGGATTTATTACTTAATTATCTAAGTATTTAATAACATATTTATTTATATAGTATTTATTTCTTTATTATTTATTATGAAGCTTAATTTGATTTGCACCTCAATTTGGTATGATATGATCATTCAACCTAACACTTGGCAAAAGTATGTCACTCACTTGGTTGATTCAATTGGTCTTTACTCTTGATGTGGTTGTCCTACTTCATCCATTACCTTGTTAGAGTAGTATTGATGTGCACTATTGCAATTTTTATTAATTAAGTCAACCACATATTTTTAGACAAACCTTAATTGCTAAGTACTTGTTTTTCTAAATTTATTGATAAGAACAATAATCATAATAATATAGAATAGAGAGGTAGTAACTATGGAGTACAAGTGACATTTGTCTAAATAGCCAAGTTATTATAGGGGGGAAAAACAGAAACAGTTGTTTCCAAAACCCCGATTTTTAATTAAAGTTGTATGTTGTACATATAACCTTATTTTTAAGCAATTTAGGGTCTATTCTCATACGTTTATTTTCAGTTTAGTTTAGTTTAGTTCAGTTCAGTTCAGCTCACTTCAGTTCAACTGAGTTAAGTCAATGAGAACAGGCCCTTAGTGATGGTAAAACACATATACTTCCTCCGCCCACGATTATCTGCACCAAATGTCCTTTTTTCCGGACTCCTAGGCAAAACTTTTAGTGTAGTTTAATTAAGTTTAGGTGGGTTTAATTAACTTGTAAAAAGGAGGGAAATAGGAGAGAGAAAGTGGTCACATATGTTTAAGTTTGTTAGTGGGTTAAAGTGAGTGGGAAATAGGAGAGAGAAACTGGTCCCATATGTTTAAGTTTGGTAAGATGGTTTTTTTACACTTTATAATTTACTAAAAGAGGAAAGATAAAAAATTGTTACACATAATAACGAACACCCATTTATAGCAAATGTTTCAAATAAGATAAGATAGCAATGCTAATGATATTATTATGAGTAACTACATTGATCAAAAAAAATAAATAAATTATGAGTAACTACATACATGGTCATTAGATATATATGTATTGTAGCTATATTAACTAAATTGATTTGAACTCATACCTAAAGCTAAATAATTCGAAATCGGATTTAATTCGAACTCCAACCATACCTCAAACAAAATGAGTGAAATTGACCTTATAATAACAACCATTTCCACCGAAATCAAATCTAATAATTTGAAATTGATGATTTAATTATCAAAATAGGCTATTTATCAATAGAGATGAAATTAATTATCTGACTCACATAGATATGATATATACATGACACGAAAGTCTCCTTATCCGAACGTGACTTGTACTTAACCTGAGAGTTTCCTCATTCGAGCAACTTAGACTTGAACCAAATTGAACGACGATCTATTTGCTACCTCCTTTGTATTGTACGTAAACTTCTCTCTGAATCCTTTGTTTTCTACAGTATTTTTTTCACACACTCTATACACATAAAGTGCAATAGACTTTATTTTAACACGACTCTCTTCAAATCTATTCCTCAATTCTCAGGACACTTTAAAGAGTCCCTATTAAAATATCCAAACACTATAATTGTTTCCTACACTATTATTTATAACTCCCACAAATAAGACTTTTCAATGTTCTTTTAGTTTTTTTTTTTTAATGCTGAGGTAAGTGAGGTTCAGTGGCGGATCCAGCGGGGGTTCAAGGGGTTCAATTGAACCCCGTTAGATCCGGAAAAAAAAATAGGAATCTTATTTAAAAAAAATATATAGAAAACCTATAAATAAAATATTTGAAACAAATAAATACTATGTTAGGCGCGAGCTCAGTTGGTTTAGTAACTCTCAAATTGGACAACAGACACGGGTTCTCCTTCTAGGACGCGCAATTTTACATTTTTTTTTCTTTTTTCTTTTTTCTTTTTCTCCTTTTTTTCCCTGTAACTTTCGTTCTTTGTTCCCTTTCTTTTGTCAATTCTCACAAAGACACAAACTGCTAAAACCCTTACTATCTTTCTCCATTTTTTCTCACTTCTCTGGCCGCCGCACCGAGACACGCCTGTCGCCACTGCTCACAGACGAGGCCATGAAAGCGACGCCAACGATCTGCTGCTAGCCTGCGTCGAACTCGAGGTAACTTTCTCACAACTTACTGTTTTTTATTTTCAATTTCTGTCTTTGAGTTTTAAATTTGAGTTTTTGAGTTTCTTAATTGAATAATTGTTAATATCATAATGTGTTGATTCACTTGAATACTTGATTGTTAAATGAATTATGAATTAATGTGCAATTGTGCAGTAGATGTAGTACTAAATACTAATTAATTTCTTATTTAATTATTGTAGTGTACTAGTGTGTGACCCTGAAAAGTTTGGAGCATTTTGTAATTTTTATCAAAAAAAAAATGTATTGTATCTTGACATTTAATTGAAGTTATGTATTGTTGTATCGGATTATTTTATTTTGCAATTTTATTGAAATTTGGACTTATTTTGTTGTTTACTTGTGTATTGGTATTTATTTGAATACTCTATTTTATACTTAAATACCCAATTTATATCCGTGCATTTGGATATCGGGTGTTTGATAAATTTCGAACCCGATCCACCACTTTGTGGGCAAAGCATGCCACACTCTTATAGTCCTATGAAGTGCAATAGTGGCTCTTGAAGGCTCAAGGCTCCCCTTTTTTGGATTATTACAAGGAAAATGGTCCTTAAAAATCATCTACTCCTATATATCAATGGTAAGAGATTTGGACTTTTGGAGGACCATTTGTGCAACTTTAATCAATTAAATCAAAAAGGAAGTACTAGCTTAGGGAACGAAATAAGTGAAAGTTTGCTTTTGAAGTTATTAGAAAAGATATATGATAGAATTGTTAAGGCAATCTTCTCTCAATATTGTAGCATGTCATATATAAAGAAAGATAAAAGCTATAACACTATTCGATTGGCTTCTTTATAGACGTGACAAGAGCAAGTCTTATTGAAGAAGGCTAAGCCATTTATAATATCATCCCTAAGCAGCTGGATCTTACAAGGGCCCTTACCCTACAAGGGCTATACAATTGATCTTTCTTAGAATTTGATAAATGAGAAATTAATTATTGTACCCCTTAAGCACATATTAAATACAATCTTTGTTTGGATTTATAATAGAAGTATACACTATAAAATCAGTGTGACACTAAGTATTTAATGAGGAAATACAAGTTAAATCTTTATGATTGACAAAATATTTTAATCATAAAGGTAAAACCAACATTTTCATGAAAGGGCATGTTCTCATACAATTATTTTCAATTCAGTTCAGTTCAGCTCTAATAAGTTCAGTTCACTTCAGCTCCTAATTTCCTTCTCTTATAAAATATTCATTTTAGTTCAGTTCAGTTCAGCTCTAATAAGTTCAGTTTAGTTCAATTCAGTTCAGTTTAGGTCAGCTCTAATAAGTTCAGTTCAGTTCAATTCAGCTCTAATAAGTTATGTTCAGTTCAGCTCAGTTCAGTCAATGTGAACATATCCTTATTTGGGATGTTGTTGTAAATTTACTTGAATGAATTGTAAACTGAGTAATAGCTCCGTTACTTTTTTCTTCCTGTTTCCTCCATCCTCCAAAGCTTCCTCCATCCTACATTGAAGCTTGCTCCTCCTTGTTCCTCCTCACTTAAAGCTTCCCCTCTTAATTATTGCTCCCCTGATACCCACCATTCCCACGATTTTCAATTCCATCTTCAAATATGTATATCAAGCTCAAAACATACTTTAATAGAGGACGTACGTGCAGTGGTCACCCCATCCTCTAGGGTTGACAATGCCTTTAATTTCGCCCTTTATTCATAAGGTTTTCGTTGAATTATCAAAGATGGTACTATTCGTTGGTGTATATAACAATAACAATGCCATTTGATTGACAAATCTCGGCCATCATAAAAATTAACGGGGGCTAGCTCCTATTTTATTAGCTGAGGAAGTTAAGGAGTGTTCATTGCTACATTTGTTATTTTTTGTTTTTTAATTGATCCGCATTAGCTAGTTTTTACGTCTTTCAAATTACAACTTTAACCATTAATACATGTATCTAATTATCTAAAATTAAAATGTTTATATATAAGTTAATATGAAAACTTACATTGAGACAACATCTATAACATTTTATGTAATAACATTTGTTTTGTAAATAATTAGCTAGAAATGTTTGGTCACGGTAAGGTATGTACATAGTACTGTTAAAATTCAATATGGAATTGAATAATTTAAAAAACAGATCGAGTGCATACTTATCTTTCTTTGCCATTACATGGATTGCTTCTTGTCAATGGTTCAACTATATACTCAATCTATTTTTGAACAATAAACTACTTCGTGCATTTAATCTCGGATTTTTAAAAAGATATTAGCTTATGTATCATTATTATTTCGTATTTATTAAGTTGTTATCTTTTGATATTTAATACTAAGAGTCATAATCTGTGAAAAGACATGTCTAATCTAATTTATATATTATCTTTTAAAAACAAATTATTGGATACATTATCTCGCTAGTAATATGCAAAATAAATATATGCTCTTTAATTTCCATTCAAAGTTCAAGCTTAAGTGTTTTGGACTTAAGTTCTGTTTTCATACGATTATTTTCAGTTTAGTTCAGCTCCTAATTTATTTCTCTTATAAAATATTCAGTTCAGTTCAGTTCAGTTCAGCTCAGTTCAGTCAATGAGAACATACCCTTAGTTATTAGTTTGATGTGGTGTATTGTGTTTTTTTAATTATCTTATCTCTTCTAATATGATTTAATTATGGTAAAAATAAGTTACAATTATAAGTTTTTAATACAAGATGAATAGAACAAATTTTAAGGATATATTTTGGCATCCCTCCATGCATGCCTTCACATAGTTAGGTGAATATGGTTGAACATTGTCTCATCAAAGTCTTTTTATTAAGAGACGTGTGAAAAGCTACATATTTGCACGTTCAAGAATTGTCTCCACGTTATAAGCCATACTTACATACATAATACATTAATTTAGTATGAAAGAATAAAATGTTTAAGAGCTTGATGTAGATAGAATTGTTTTTCTAATAAAAAATTAATCATGTATTTTAATATCCAAGTTATGATTTTGATAGTTCGTCGATATTTGGGCCCAGTTTGGTTTAATGTAAAACATTTTCAATGGAAAATTAGTTTTTATGGAAAACATATTTTCAAGGAAAAACACAATTGCAAATTAGTTTTCCTTTGTTTGGTTGCATACAAGAAAAGTTCAAGAAAAATAAAAAATAAGAGTGGAAATGTAAGGATGAATGAGAGGGAAGTAAAAAAAGAGGTAAGGAGGAGAGAGGAAAATATGGCTTCCCTTGTTTTTAGAAGGAAAATGTTTTCCATCATTAAGGATGAAATTTTCCACCCTTGAAAAATTGTTTTCCACTCCTTAACAAACCAAACAAAGGAAAATGGGAAAAAAATGGAAAATTCATTTTCCATGAAAACATTTTACATCAAACCAAACAGGCCTTAGTATATAATTAAATTGCTTATTGTATTATTATTTGCCATCGTTTTTATATTAAACTCTATCCTTTTCATGATTCATGACGTAATGAAAGGGATACCCTTTTCTTATTAAGGCTTAAAAAATGCAATTATCCAACCAAGAAATACTTGAGCAAATTTTTTTAATATAGTTTGATGGTGATGTTGTTTCTTTATAAAAATGTTGTTTAGATTAATAATTTGGGTTTAAATGGCACGCATAATGACGAATGGTGCTTATTGATATACTGCTCAACGTATTAATATTGATATTGACATTTTTTTTTTTGCGTTTGGTAGACGGGAAAGAAAAGCGACAATGTACGTATTTGTGGTATATCATTAACTTATTTACGTGTTTGAATCAAAATGAAATATATTTACTATTCTACTTACACTAAAGTCGTCTTTTCAAAGAAATAAAAAATTCCAAACAATTTATAACCTTAGATATAAAAATTACTCTAGGTAAAAGCACTACTTTAAGTAGCATTATGTCTAGGGCTGCAAACGATCCGAGCCGAGTTTTTACTTGTTCGAGCTAAGCTTGATAAAGATTTCAAGTGTTCGAACATGCTCGAGCTTGAACGAGCTTCATAATTTTGTACTGTGTTCGAGCTTTGTTCATTAAGGTTTTGCCTTGTTCGAGCTCGGCTTGAGCTCATTCGTTTGTGATTCGAGCTTGAGCTTGAACAAGCTCTAATGTGAACGAGCTCAAACGTGAACGAGCTCAATTAAGCTAATATTAATCAATTTTGAAAAATTATAAGTATACTCCAATAAGAAAAGTTGTTTGATGATATTTATCATAACAACAAGATAGGCAGTAATAAGTATTTGATATTATAAATGAGAAATTTGAGCAAATATACTATTCATTTTTTTAACAATAATACTCCATATATTTTAATTTTATATGATACTCCGTATTATTAACATGGCTAATTTGATTTTATACGATAATTGATTATTATAATTGATTTGGTTCCATATTAAAATTGTACTATTTTAAGAATAATTAAAACAGTGAAATTAATTGTTTCAAGCTTGAACGAGTTATAAATGAGCATTATTATGCCCCAAGATTAACGTTTTATTTTTCTTTTATTTCTTGGGTTAAAATTTCACATAAAATTGTAGACCAAACTTGCGAAACAGCAAAAGACGACATCATTGTTGATAAAAAAGAATCCCTAATACACCTCATGATGATTGTTATAATAGAATTTAATATACTACTCATAACAGCAAGGTGCATTTTAATGAATTCTTACGCTGAGAGCCTAAGATACAATAAGATAAATAAATATATTTAGTTGAGAGCATCACTCGAATGAAGAATTGAAGACATGTCGAGTATGAATTAAGGTAAAACCTCTACAGAGTTTTTGTGGTGCAGCAGGCCACACGGTGTGGCCTGCTGCCAAGTCAATAAAATAACGGATTCAGACACTCGTATAACGGAGTTACTATTCACTCGCATAACGGGGTTACTGGTTTTGTCAGGGTTACTTGTATTTTTTGGGGGTTACTGGTTTTATCAAAGTTACTTGTATTTTTCGGAGGTTACCGGTTTTGTCAGGGTTACTTGTATTTTTTAGGGGTTACTGGTTTTGTCAGGGTTACTTGTATTTTTCAGGGGTTACTGGTTTTGTCAGGGTTACTCATATTTTTCAGGGATTACTTGTATTTTTTTCAGAGGTTATTTGTATGGATTACTTGTTCAGGAGTTACTTGTATTTTCAGGGGTTACTTGTATTTTTTTTGAGGAGTTACTTGATTTTTTTTTTTGGGGGGGGGGGGGGGGTTACTTGTATTTTTTTTTTTCAGGGGTTACTTATATGGGTTAATTCAAGGGTTACTTGTATGAGTTCTTTATTTAAGGGTTACTTGTATGAGTTAATTATTCAGGGGTTATAACTA